TTGATTTGATTTATAGTCAACCCGATTACGGTCATATTTGATTGATGATTGGCCTAATGGCGATCACATTATTGATTGATTGAGCGCATTTGAGTATAGATTGAGCATATTGATCGAGAAGTTATTGATTATGGTCACAAACTCCTAGGATGGAGGTTTCCTACGGAAATCGATTTGAAGCTCGGTAAGATCTTGAAAAGTAAGGTTTTACAATAGGTTTTCCAAAGCGTGAGAAACTGTCACTTCTAAAGCGTGAAGACGTGAATATTTTGAAGACAGATCAAAGATAAGTGTTCTTTGACAGCGCTCCCTAAGAATGAGGAGGTTGTCACCCAATTTTTTAAGATGGCTCGAAGCGAAGTGGTCTTCCACAGCGCTCCTTGAGAATGCGGAGGTTGTCCCCCTTGATTTGAGAAGATAGTTCAAGACGTAGCGGTCTTCGACAGCGATCCTTGAGAATGTGGAGGTTATCAAACAACATAACTTTAATTAGACAAGATGTTACCCAGAAAAGTGTGCTCGGCAATCCCAGATACGTGTTTCTTTCCCCTTAACTCCTTTATTTGTAGAACTAACGCTTTCTGTAGGTATGAGCGTTAAAAAGGATGATTTAGGATCGCAAAAAATTCTGAATCATTCTCCGTCCTTATCGACTTACTTTGACTAGCGTTTTCGAAAGTTACGTTTCTCCAAATTCAGTCAAAGTGGGGGCTTCTGTAGACACCTGATTGTGTCTCCCCAAAAACCAAACCTAGTGATGAGAACCTTTCACGTCTTTGATTAACGAGTTCGGTAAAGAGTTGAAGAGTCTCGTGAAGTTCCCTTTAGCCTTGACCATACCCCTAACCTTTCCTTTCCTAAAATTGTTTTAATCCAAAATCATTTATTTCGTATCCTTAGACCAAAAATCATTTATTCCGTGTCCTAAAAATCATTCATTTCGGGTCCAATTCATAAAAAAGTCCAAACCTGATTATTTTGGTCCATAATCCTGGTCCAACAATTGTTTATGTGGATGGGGCTTGAAAAGAGCTTTCCAACAATATATTATAAGCTCAAATCCGACTTAAAACAAATAAGTTATATATGGCCAAATACTAAACCAAGCCCAAACCGGACCTAGGTCCACCTTACCTACGACCCAATGATCATGTGGAGGGTCCAAATACCTTATTTCCAATCCTAAATCAATTAGGATTTATTACAAGCATCTAGAATCCTCTAGAATGTTCTAATTTATCCTTTCCACAAAAGATAAGGATTAAAGAATTTGATATCGAATAAAACATCTCATTTTTGATAATTCTAATCCCAGTCAAAATAGAATACGTATGGATATTTGATTAACCTAATCCGATTGGAAATTAAACTCTGTACAAATTTTAATCTTTAGAAAACAGTCGCAGAACGACATGATAATCGCACCGCGATGGAACCTGTTTTATTCCGATTCAAATTCTGATTCTTTTCTGATGCTTCGACTCTCTTTTTTCCCTATAAATAGAGGTCGTATCACCCCATTTTCAATCACCAAAAATTATCATCAATACCCTTTCTAATATTCTCTCTCTCTTGATTCTTCATATTCTTAGCCTAGCCTAAACACATCCTTGATACTTTCCCCAATCAAACACCATATCTCCTTTGCGAGATTCGAATACTCCTTGCCCCCCTCGACGTTACCTTCGACCTCGACGTGAAAGGTTGATAGTTCTAAGGGTTTGGTCCTAAATCTATATTTCAATTATTATTTGATTTATTTACTTTGTTGATTTAATCTTTCTTGGAGTTACTAACGTGATTGTTGTTTTAATAGCAAGAAGGGAGGAACATCAGCGTAAGCAATTCAATTACTTAATTCTTTGCTTTTTGAGTAGGAATCATGTTTAGAATATTATTTTAATTCCTAGTATCATGTTAGGATGTTATTATAAATTCTAGTATCATGTTCAGGATGTTGATTATGATTTCTAGTATCATGTTTAGGATAACGCTTTGATCTTGTTATTAGTGACATGATAGGATTTGTTATTAATTTGTTTAGTATCATGCCTAGGATCTTGCTATTAATGATGTTTAGATGATATAATTATGATGATGATTGTTGTGTCAATTAATCATATGTTTCTTGATTATTCATGATTTATTGTTATTGCTTGATCACGCCCTTTTTGCAGGTTTAAAGGGAATTTGTACTTGAAATCACGCTTAATAAGATAATTGATAATTTGAATTTAGGCTTAATATGATTTTAATTCAAGTGATCACAAATAATAGATTTAATTGTGCATTAATAATCAACCAACGTAGATTAAACAGGTTTAGAGCTAACTTGATGTATGTATGTTGATCGGAAAGCGCACATGAATGTCATAAGAATTAAGTAAAGGCCGATTTAGGGCAGGTTCAATCTCTTTTAGGTTGGATTCGTACCTTCATCCCCGAACATCCAGTCATGGTTCCGGACCACTATGGATCGGAGTTAGTGATCTCTGTGATCGTGAATGGGGTGTAACCTTCGCACCCGTGAACGGTTTACAAGTTCCTAAAACTTGTTGGCGACTCTTCTATATCTAGTTTCCTTCCCTTGGAGCACTGCCATGCCTGAAAGCATGAACACAGTGGGGCTTAAAAGGTTGAGTTTGAAAAATTCCCTACATTAGGAGAATAGGTTTATGGCTTAGAATGTGAGAGATAAAGAGAGAGATGGGAATTGTTGGTGTCCCGAAACTGTGAAATCAGCTTCGTATGTATAGAGGAAATGCAAGGGGTGAGGTACGGAACCCTAGAAATGAGGCGCCGCGAAGGAATAAATTGTCGTGGCATGGTATTGCCGTGGCGCGGCACACTTGTCGTGACACGGCAATGCTGACAAGGCACGGTAGCTAATTTTATCAGTTTAAAAGTCAAAACGCGTTAAAAGATAAAGACGGGAAAAGAAATTCTCGTGGCACGATAGATGATTTTTCTGATATTGTGTTTGAAATTCATTTTAATCTTTTATTTTACATTAAGTGTTGTTTAATTAGGCGTCGTTTCAGCTATTTCGGGCTTAATAATTAGGTTTTAGGATTTTAATATTTATTAATCGGGCTCAATTAATAAATAGAATTAAATGAATTAATAGGGTTTGGGTTAGAATGAGGATTGGAGAGAGTTTGAATAAATACTTGGACTGAAAATGTGGACTGATTTGTATGCTATGTTTGATTGAAAAGGATTTTTAAGCACAACCGAGATTAAATACTCAACCCAACCAATAATGGCAGTGAAAGGTTGTTCATCATCAGGTTTGGTTTTGGGGAGACATTTTTAGGTGTCTAAAGGAATGAAGAAGTAGGGATGCGTTTACACTGTCCTTAAAGCAATTTTAACCCCCATTATAATTGCTATGGGTTACCGGTTAATATGCTTCTTGAATTTCCTTAAATATCGAGATCAATTATAGCAATGTAATTGAGAGTCCCTAAAAACACTTTAAGAACAATTAAAATAGATAACGAAGAAGAATTTTCCAAGTAAGTTATAATTGGAGCCCATTAATACATATAATGTACAACTTTTTAATCCATAGTTAATTGTAGAAAATTAACTGCTAACGACACTCGCCTGATCGGGCAAAGCCCACTCAATTGGGCAAATAAACGAACAAAACTTTCATCTTTATTTGCGGCCGATCAAGTTAAGCCCACTCGATCGGGCCATCAACCCTATAGAAAATAAGTTTGCATTCGTGCCCGACCGTGCTAACTTATCTCGATCGGTCCCGAGGTCAAAGTCCTTGACTCACATTAAAATTTGTTCAGCTCCAATTATTAAACTTATACACTTACTTCAAGCTAAACTTTTCCTATTTAACCACTATTAGACTTTTTTTTTCCAACATCAAGTTAAATAGAATAAAGTAAGCTAATTTCCTCTATTCAACCAATGTGAGACTTTCTTCCCAACAATAAGCTAAATAGAATTGAATTCGATTCTACCAATATGGGACTTCCATCCCAACATCAAGTTATATAGACTAAACTATATAACCAACTTCTATTCTCCCAATGTGGGACTAATTTCCCATCATTAAACAACACCTATTATGAAGACTAATCTGACATCTCTCTTGGTAGGGTTTTCCTAGCCTTAATTACTAGGTACTTTTTTTTTTTTTTTAATAAATAGATTTCATCATTGAAATGATGATATTTTCTTTTTCTATGGCGAGAATTAAAGATTTAGGGTTTCATAAGCTTCATAAGAATCCAGAAGAACACATGAGTATTTTTTACTCAAATGACTTCGCATCAGTGGATTTCAAGCCGAATTAATGCTAACTCACAAACTGTATTGCTTTAGATGAAGTTTTTTATTAAGGCGATTGTTGATCGAATCTGCAATACATTTAGTTTTAAGGTTTATGTATTTGTGCTGGAATTCTTGTTTTTTTTTTTTAATTATATGTAAGTGTCGTTTGACTATATTTTATTAATGAAGTTCCTTTTCTTTTTGTAAAAAATAAAAAAAAAATTCTTAAGCAAGCTGACATTTCTTTGTGTACCTCAAGTGTAACACACTAACACCAAAAACTAAGCAAGCAACCCCAATTTCACAACTCAATGCTTTAGAGTAGAAGGGGGAAGTAAGGGGAATCTCCCTACTCTCAAGCAAATATAATTGGTGGGACTTGAACTTGTGACCTTAAGGTGAGTTCCCCACCGAATCCACCAATCTTTGATTGGTAAAACACCTTAGTATATAAATATATTGTTATATACAAGTATGTACTCGTATTAATTTTAAGTTTCTTAATTCTTGAAATTATAAAGTTTTATAATATTAATTTTTTTTTTTTATACTTGTATATTTTTTTAATACAGTAATTATCAATTAAACTTGTATATATTTTCTGGGATGGGAAGAATACTCCGTAATCGTATGGACCATATCACAATAAAATGACTATAACACCCTTGTGCACATACCGCCTCAAGAGAGTATAAAAATCATATCGAAGGAAGAACTGGTGAATCTGGGTTTGAGTGTTGTAGATTGTGCGCCAAGAAGCAAAAACAGAATTCACTACAGGAAAAATGGGATGGGTCTGGAGAGGCGACGACGACGAACCTAATCACTCGAATTCCTTTGATTTAGCAGAATTTCAAAACCCTAAAGTTAACCCTAGCTCCGATTCAGCCGATCGTTGTTCGACTAGGAAAATTGTGCAATCCAAATGCAACACTGAGGAGGTTGAGCCTGGTAAATTCGTCAGAAAGTGCGAGAAAACCGAGCAAATTCTCAAGGATTGCGTCGGAAAGTCAGTCTCACTCTTTCTCTTATTCTCTGATTATTGATAATTCTTCTCTATTATTTTCGTTTGCTTTGGATTGCTGAATTTCTCGCAATTTGATTTCGGTCTATTTGTTGTTGTTGTGATTGTATTGATATGAGTATAAATTACCTGTTGTTTGAATCTTCTGAATTAATTTGGTGATGAATATTGCCGAAAATTTTACATTTTACAAATATTATATGTAGTTGAAGGATATTGCTGATGTTAATGACGATTTTGAATTTGCTTTCATGTAAATTGCATAGTTTTTAATGATTTAGGAACTGCGCGTAACTAAGCTGTGTTTCATGGACTTAGGTAAATGGTTCTCTAGTTGAGCAAACTATTGAGCGTCATTGGCTATTTTGATGGATTTTATGTATTCGGCTTAATCGAAAAGCCTGATTGACAATTAAGTTAGGAAGATCATTTTGTGCTGATGTGTGATTAAGCTCGCTACTCGGACCATTTTTAGAGAAGTGATAATCTGGGTCTGTACTGTGTGATATACGAGTAGTGAGGGGTTACATATATTTCATTACATTTAGCAATAGATATTGAAACCTCATTATTAGATTAATTTCTATCTGCAGTAATTAGATTGAAGTTGTAGTTGGTAGTTCGGTATTCAGAACCAAGTTATCAATTTATTACTTTCATTTAAGCTAGATGAACTGTTTTATTGAGGCTGCTTTCAAGAACAGTGAACTTGCTGGCTGCATTTGATAAAATTCATGGACTTCATTTTTCTTTCACAAAGAAAAGAAATGGAATTAAATCGCGAAATGGCAACCTTCTGAATTGTTTTTGGGTTGATGGGCTGGAAGTAAAATTAATTGTACTTGAATGTATTTTGTATTGTGTGGAAGTGTGGATGCTCAAAGAAATATGGGCATGAATATGCAACCTTTGAGAGTGTTTTAATTCCAAAGAACTACTCAGTTTCGTTTATATTTTTGGAAATTTTTTACATTTGGGTTTTTTAGCTATAAGATGTATACAGAACCTTTGCCATATTTGTGGTGCTGTTCAGGGGTCTTTTACTTTCTTCAAAATTAGTCTTTATCTATGAAAATGAACTGCAACACTTGCCAAAAAGCTGATCACCTTGAGCTATGCCTTGAGAGATAAAGAGATGTTGGGGGAAGATGTTCTAATAACCAAGGCTGTGAACTTGTGGTGTTAATTAGGGACTTTTTACATGTATTAAAGATGATAGTTTAAAAGAGAAAAATGTGAATATTTTTCACCTAGATTATATTTTACCTTTATTTCCATGGCCCTCAACTCCTTTAGCCTTGTGTACACATATAACTATTCCAAATTTCCAAGTGACTTATGTGTTTCATAGCAACTTAATTGCGTACATTTCCATGTGTTATAGGTGCTGGTCTGCTGGGAAAGAACCCATTTTTCAACTGAATATTTTCGTTTGTTGCTAGCCAAAATTGAGTGTTTTTCCCTTGCCTTTCCAACCATGTGATTTCCATGCATGCTCCTATTAAGGCTTTAGTCTGCATAGCATGGAAATGTGAAACCAGTTTTCTTATGTGAAGGGAAGGGGTGTTTCAAATTGTCATGTTCTATGTTGATGAGTGCAGCAAGTATGTCAATGTGATTTCAGTTATTGGTTTGTGAAAAACTCTCATTTATGGCGTACAGAGAATCAAAATTTCCACTTTTCCCTGTTTGTTTTGCACTCTGTAATCTGTATATTTTGTGTTTGAGAGCTGTTAAATGATTTTTGTGTTAACGTGCCAAGTGATGAATTCTATTATTGTGTCAAGACTCTTAATGGGCATGAATATTGCCCATAGATTTGACCAGCATTTTTAAGCTGCAAGAGGTAAAACAGATTTGATGGATCTGAATTTAGTGAATTTAGTCTCTTAGAGTGCTTGCTTGTATGTATTTCTTGGTTGCATGACATGCTTGCATTAGTAGCTTATTCAGGTTGATGAAACAACGAAGCGAGACACCATAATTAACCCCTTGTTTGTATCCTATTTTAAGATGATTTTATTTTAAACTTTTACCGCATTATATCTTTCTTGATAAACATGAATTTCTATATTTTTGTCCTTTAAGTTGTCAAGCCCCAAATATGAAGAGTCATAAGTATTTTTATTAATCATAAAATATATTTTATGAAATTCTTTTTTATCAATACTAAAACTCTTGTTCACAAATTTTCAAGCTGAGCCAAGCTTGGTTTGGGCTTAGCTCCTTAAGATCTCAAGCTGAACCCGAGCTCAAGTGGAGAGCTTAGCCTCGAGCTTTGATCAAGTCAAGCTTGGTAGTTTATGACTCATTACCCCCCCCCCTAGTCTTGCTTGTGTCCACTGTCATCAAGCATAATCTTTATAAAGTGTTTGGCTTAAGCCAAAAATATGTTGACCTATTGAGTCCTCCTGTTGCTACTGATACATTAATGAGTAGTTACACTTTTGAATCCTATCCTTTTGACTTAGAGGTTGGAACTCATACAATACTTTAATAGTGGTATGCAAATTTGATATCTATGCCACAGGATAACCATCGCTTGTTTTTTGTGCTGGCATCTAAAACTTTTTGATGCGTCTGAGTGATCAGTTTTCAGCTTTTGATTATGTAATTGACTGAGTGAAGTGTTTCTTTGTTATGTCCAATAATTTGGTATATCTGGAGTAGCAAGAAGATGCCTATCTAAAATCTAATGGGAGCTGCCTATCTTACTGTGTGATTACTAGGACAAGGTTGTGTATATCTTGCTTTAATACTCTGCCATAATCGAGGGCTTTCTAATTTTTATATTACCGTGCTGTTTTTTTTTTTTTTTTTTTTTTTTTTTTTGTTTGTTTTTGCTTTCTAGATCCCCAGAGAATTCTGTCATTTTTTATGATTGACAATGACCTTTTAATTTACTCCAACAGGGCTGAAGTTTCCCATTTTTTAATTTACTCTAATAGGGGAGTTGGTTTTAAATTTGAGCAACCATTTTATTTAGATTGCCTGAAATTTCAGCTTTTCGATGTCTCATGCACCCCACTTATAATTTTATCAAGAACCACAGATTTGACTTTTTGTTGTACTGATGATAACTTAAGACCCTAAAGGCTTAGGGTCAATGCTGTATTTATGTCTGTCCCTTGTATTGTGGCTGATTTTTTTGCCTATTTTACTTGAAACTGTAACATAACAGGCCTACTGAAATTGTGGAATCAAACAAAGAATACACAGAAGAAGATGTGACTGATGAGATGAAGAAAGAGTCGTTTTTCCCATCCAATGATATGATGCGACCTTTTGAATTCCCTGGACTCCGCAGTGATCTTGAGGCTGTGGAACGCAGTGTCTTTGGGGGTATCAGCCGTTTCTTTGAAGCTGCTGAGGAGATGAGAAATGAGTTCTCCCGTTTAATGGATGATCCATCTACATTTGGGGGGTCTTCATCATCACCAAGGAGGCAGGAAATACCCACTGATGGCCATATTCTGAAGGAACAAAAGATAATTCCAAACAACTCAGACTCTGGGAATGTTGATCTTTCTGGACTGGCTAGGGATGTCTGATTCTATCGAGTTTTTTTTTCCACACCTTATATTCTGACATTTGTAGAAGGACATGTATGCTGTACTTCATTTCAAAACAATAAATATCGTGAACGCATGAATATCAGCTAGGTTATTGTACAGTTTTGCATTGCTAGGCCTTTTGTTTTCAGTTTGCAAGAACGATTATTGTTGACCAAGAATTGAAAATTTTATATTGTTGGACTTGACCTAAAGATTGTGCTAGAGATGTGGAGGGCTGATCTTTAGCAAGCATGTCTCTAGTTCTCTCTTCATTATTGATTTGTAAAGATCTAAGAGCTTAGTTTGTAGACATGGACATGGTCAACTTATTTTCTTTACTTGGAATCATTCCAAGTGCTTTTTTTTAAAAAACCATTTTTTTAAAATTTAATTCTATTTTTGCAAGGCTCAACGACGTGAGGCCATGTTTCCTGACTTCTTCATGCAGTAAATTTGCAAAATGCTTCTGGATAGGTATCTACTAGCTATAACTATAACAAATTGACAAAAACAAACCAGTAAAGCTGAGCAATCGTGCTAATCTAATATTTGTTATATAAGTAAAGCATGTATAGTTGTATTAGATAAAGGATATACATATTATGGAAAATTTATTGTTTATAGTAAAAACAATGTTAGTTGTATCAATTAATGCCTGATTGTTGCACTTGCAATATTATACGAGTAAAGATAGGCGTACATTTCTACATTATATATGAATGTGTCTAATTTTGTTGATTACAGATTTGGAGACTAGTACGTACCCAAGTTTCAAGAACAAGTATCATATTAAGTTTACATCAAAATGAATTAAAAAATAAAAATTGCATGCTTGTATTAAATTAAGCATAATTGAAGTTGGAAATACAGAATACATCATCAGTATATGAATTCCCTAGAAGATCTCATCTTCAGCTGGCGTTTAGGCCGGCAACATGGCTGTATTTTGAGTAAAAAATGAACCCAATAAATAAATTTTACTATACAACAGCAGAAACCATCGTTGATCTCTGAAACCCACATCTCCTGGCCGTTAGATTTTCCAGAATGTTAACTGAAGCCACGTCGTTGGAATTTGAAAGGTTTCTAACAGAAAAACCTGTAATATTACCTTTCTTTTCTTTCTCCAATTTTCTCTCTTTTCCCCAAAAAACTGGAAATTACATCAAAATTTCGAAACCCTTTTTTACATTTGCCCCAAACGATTCTTGTTCAATTTCGTTTTTTTCATTAGACATTGATTATATTTTGCACCCATTCCATTCCCTCCATAATGAATTCTTCTTTTTAAAGAAAATCTTGACAATCTCATTAGATAAATTCTTGGTTCACGTAGCCGACCCTATTATTTTGGGAGATCCATGCTTTGAATTGTTGTTTTTCTTATGAGAATTTGATCATTTTCTCAATGTGGGTTGTTAAGATTTTGTCTTAATTTTTCCAATTTTTATCATCCACCCTGATTTGCTTCCAAAATTGTGCTTTGCATTTTGGGTTGATTTTTTTTCTGCAACGTCAAATTTGGATTGTTTTTATGGGGTTTATATTTTTAGATCATTAATTGATATCTTCTTAGGGCAATGCAATGTCACCCTTGTTGATTTGTGTAGGTAAATGTTCATGGTTGAATAGCAGATAAAGTGTTTGAGTTGTGGCGCGAATGAGTGCACCGCAAGAATTTGATTTTTGACATCATTTGGTATGAAAAACCCTGAACCCATTTGGGTGATAAGACAAACAGATATTGGTTATTGAGCTGCGAGGTGGGAGAAGGGGTTGTGTTTAGTATGAGATGGGGAACAACTGCATTTCAAAGCTTATTCAGGTTGGGTTTTGGTGCAAACCACCAAATCAGACAATTGAAGATGGTGCAAACAGCGATATCAAAGGAAAAGATAGGTCATTAGATGTGCAATTCAAGCCACCTGAGGTAGTGAAGATTGACAGTAAATTAGGCAGACAAGAGAGCCGGTTAAATAGACAAGAGAGTCGAGTAGGGAGGCAGGAGAGTCGAGTAAATAAGCAAGAGAGCCATGTAGGGAGGCAAGAAAGCCGGTTAGGAAGGCAGGAAAGCAGCAGGTTGGGGAGTCAAGAGAGCAGGATTGGAAGACAAGAGAGTAAAATGGTAAGGCAAGAGAGTCGAAAGAGAAATGTGAATGGAGGAGATCAGGAAAAGACCAAGAAGCGGCCTGTAAATGTGAAAAGGGTGGCTAGTGCAGGGCTGCAAGTGCACTCGATTTTAAGAAGAAAGACTGGAAATCTGAAGGAATTTTACTCTTTAGGGAAGAAACTTGGACATGGGCAGTTTGGAACTACCTTCCTTTGTGTGGAGAAAGCCACTGGGAAAGAATATGCTTGCAAATCAATCGCGAAAAGGAAGCTGATTAACAAGGAAGACGTGGATGATGTGAGAAGGGAAATCCAGATTATGCATCACTTGAAGGGGCATCCTAATGTGATCACCATTAATGATGCCTATGAAGATGGTGTGGCTATTCATGTTGTCATGGAACTTTGTTCTGGAGGTGAACTTTTTGATAGAATTGTCAAAAGGGGGCATTACACAGAGAGGAAGGCAGCTAATCTTGCTAGAATCATAGTTAGTGTTGTTGAAGCCTGCCACTCGTTAGGAGTCATGCATCGTGATCTTAAGCCTGAGAATTTTCTTTTCGTGGATGAGAAGGAGGAATCGCCTCTCAAAACTATAGACTTTGGATTGTCAATATTTTTCAAGCCAGGTATATATATTTCTCAAATCTCTCAAGCAAATAATGTTTTGTATTTTCTTTCTTTCAAACATGATTGTGAGTCTTGAACATGGTATAGTCTTAATTTCTGTTTGGCAAAAGTCAACTTTTGTGGAAAGATAAAACCATGACTATGCCACGAAAGTAAAATGTATATATAGCAGCATCAATGTCTGGACATGCTTCACTAGAAAGAGCAGCATAACGATGAAACAGTTTTAAATATGTCTTTAACTGCTGCACCCCAGCTCTCTAGAAGCTTTATAATGACCATCTGTAGGAAACAACTTGTGAATTCATTGGAAGAAAAAATAATAACATTCCAAATACTAAGTTCATGTCTATCTTACACAAGAGAATTATGCTTCACACAGCAAATGGTATGGCTTTTGTTTTCTTTCGAATTCATTCCATAGAACTGCTGTCAGTTTACTCCGCTTGATAATGTGGCCCTAAGAAGTTATTTTAAAGTTGAAACGTCCCCTTATCCTGGAATTACGTTCCTGTTTTTTTTAAGAATTATTAGTTTATTCAGTACTTTAGACAATTATCTATATAGCTATAGCTCTATCTGTTGTGGTTCGATATGGAATAGCCTCTCATAACTTTTTGAAGTATAGCCGTATAGGCAAGATTACCTAGGACCGATAATAATAACTAGAGCTGGTTATATCCTCAATTCCCATTGAATTGTTGGATGCCTTTTGTTGTTATATATTTTGACAATCCACCTTGATAAATTTCAACTAATAACATAGAGGACCATAACTTGCCTCTTTGTGTTCCTATGCTGATTTTTTTATTGTTATTTTTTCTATAGGGGATGTCTTCAACGATGTGGTAGGGAGTCCATATTATGTAGCACCTGAGGTATTGCGCAAACGTTATGGTCCTGAGGCTGATGTTTGGAGTGCTGGAGTGATCCTTTACATTCTCCTAAGTGGAGTGCCACCATTCTGGGCAGGTAAGAAGTCATAAGCTATAAATCAATCAATTTATTCTTTTTTTTTTTTTCTACCTTGATTAATTGGTATCATGGTTTGTTACCTTGGTTTTCCTACCAGAAGCAATATTATATGACCTTTAATCTTTTGTTGATGTAGAAACTGAGGAGGAAATATTTGAAGAAGTCCTGCATGGTGATCTTGACTTTATTTCTGATCCATGGCCTAATATCTCGGATGGTGCAAAAGACTTGGTTCGCAGAATGCTCGTAAGAGACCCTAAGAAAAGATTAACTGCACATGAAGTTTTATGTAAGTGCTACACCAGAAATCAGACTTCTTTTGGAAGATACATGGTTATATATACAAATGCTGACTGTACCAGTACACCCTCGCTGACATTTGCACTAATATAGATCATAATTATCTAACTAAGATAGTTTTAATAAACAGAAGCAACTAACATTGTTCATGTAATATCATGGTATCCCATACAGCAGTCTCTTTTCTTCAATATTGCTTATGTTTTTATCGTTGCTACTCTTGTACCGTCCCTTTTCTTCATGTGCAATCTGCTATGTTTATTTTTATACTCACGCCAGTAGTGGTAATTATTGTTGATACATATAGCTCTACATTAGTGATGTTACGTGAAAGCAATACACGAACTGTGTGAAACAGTTAGTGTCCGTACTGTGCTATATACTTCGTTGTTGATGTGAAATGAATGTGTTTAGTTAATGAAGGGTGTGCAGGACTTGGTTACTTGATATTTCTATCTGAGCTGTTATTTTTTTTACCATTACCTAGTAATTTTTTCATGTTTTGGAGGTCTGATCCAACTTTTATAATCATGTTTGTTCTTCCTTGAAAGGTGTATGAGGTATCAGTAATCACTGCATCTTGTTTGATTAGATAGATAATCCAGATGGCTGATATCCAATTTGAAAATCATCAAATAAAAGCTTTACCAAGCTTATGGTTAATAAAAATTAATTAGCATATTTTGATGCATCTTCATCAGGTTATTTTAGAATTTTGAACTCCTGAATCATATATAAGTTTAATTTTTTCAGCTGTAATACTTAAACCTCCTGATGATTGCTAACTATTGTGATGCTTACTTTTGATCTTGATTTTCTTTCAGGCCACCCCTGGATTATGGCTGATGGATTGGCTCCTGACAAACCTCTTGATCACTCAGTCATTTCGCGATTGACACAGTTCTGTGCCATGAATAAACTTAAGAAAATGGCCCTTAGAGTATGTATCTCAGCACCTTTAATAGGTTGTATGACATTAAGTATGAAATTTTAAAATCACCATTTATCAAAAGTTTTATGTTTTCATATACAGGTTATAGCTGAGAGGCTTTCAGAAGAAGAAATAGCAGGACTCAAGGAGATGTTTAAGATGATAGACACTGATAACAGTGGGCAGATTACTTTTGAAGAGCTTAAGAATGGGCTGAAAAGATTTGGCGCTAACCTGGAAGAGTCTGAGATTCATTATCTAATGCAATCTGTAAGTGTCTGGTGGCTAAGTTGCAGTTTAATTAATAATGTCTTCTGCTTGATTTTTTTTTTAATAAGATTCCTCCAAAATCACATTGATAGAAAGGCATATAAGACTATATAGATGATTAAACATGAAAACACAATTCTAGTTATATGGTGAACAAATGTATGGATGATTTAACATTAACCAACCTAAGACGATTCATTAGCTTTTTTTTTCCCTCTTTGCTTGTAATATTTTTACAAAACTCTTGGTCTGATTTATGAATAGACAGCAACATTGATTTGATGACCTTTAGTGATATCAAAGTATGTTTATCAAGTTTATAAATTTCAGTCAGGATGAGCAATTTTAAATAGCTTCCTTCAAAGTATACATGGTATTAGGTCAATAAATATATCTATATGTATCCGTTATGAAATCATTACCTCCTAACCTCAAACGAAGCAATGAGCCAGGGTAAGAAGCATCTATTTTTTTTTATTTTGGACTCCCTTGGTACAATGGATTAGAATCAACAATTTTGATACATTAAGCTAATTATGCTGATTAACCATTCCATAGAGTATACTTATTGCAAAAAACTGCAGTTATTGCTCATTCATCACTACTCTTCAGAATTATGACGACTTTTCTATTACATTTTGAAATTGGATATACCTTAAGATGGCTAATCATATGTACCTTGAAACTGCAGGCAGATGTTGATAACAGTGGGACTATTGACTATGGAGAATTTATCGCGGCTATGTTGCATCTCCACAGAGTTGACAAAGAAGACCATCTATGTGCAGCTTTTGCCTACTTTGACAAAGATGGAAGTGGTTACATTACAAAAGATGAACTACAACAAGCATGTCAGGATTTTGGCATGGACGTTGTTCATGTCGAAGAAATTATTAGTGAAGCGGACCAAGATAAAGTATGTTCTACTATTCTTCTTTAATGAATTGAAGGGCCACTTACAAGTTAATTCATTGACTAAGTAGAACAAATTGTTTCTTCAAATTTCTTGTTTCATCTGTGTATCTTGGTAGTCTTACTGGATGTTATCATTATTGTTAAAATTTGCAGGATGGTCGTATAGATTATAACGAGTTTGTTGCAATGATGCAAAGAGGAAATGTTGATCTTGGTAGAAGACACAAGCATTCAAGTTCTACAATACAGGTTTGTTATTTTATCTTGTTAGCACTTCATGGCGGTTACTTCTTGCATTCAACTTATTTGGCTGTAACAGGTATGCTGATAGATGGCCGCTCATTTCCCTAATTCTTGCATATCTTTTTGTATAGAGTCCTTGCGATGCAAGTGCAGCTTGTTATCGTTCCTAGAAGGTGTACGTGCTGGATATCCTGATGCTGGTAACATGATTATGTTCTTGTGCTCATGTGTCTAGCATGGTTATGAGTAGTTTTAAGCCAATATTGTAAATACTGGAATTGACTTCTGCCGATATCTGGGCTGATTTGTATGGATTTGTCCTTCTTACCCTGTTGCCATTTCTGCCCATCACAGCAAAAAGGCAGTCTCGTTTGTGGTTTAAAAGTGTTATAAGAAAATTCTTTTCCAACAAAATCAAGTTATAGAAGGTTTAACTGATTTAAGTAGTGCCTCTTTAATGTAAAGAGGATACAGAGTAGTAATCTACCCCTTCTATCTGGTACTGATGTTAGTGATACTATGAATGAAGACATGATTGTATTGAAGACAGCTGCATATTGTTCCCTTATGTTGTATCATGTAGAGTATTCGTTTATGTCTATAACTAGCTTACCTGGTAAATATATATTTCTTTTATTAAGCCCATGCAGATTGTGTTGTGTATAACTTATAAGTGGAAACGAAAGCAAGATAATGGTTGAGACTAAAGTCTTTGATCCACCTGCTTCCCTTTATGTTACTAATCCACAAATAATGCTGCGAATAAAGTAAGACTTATTTTAGCCATGTTCTCTTCACAGTGAGATGTAGATGAGCTGGATATATTGGGGACACACCACAAAAGCTTGAAGAAGCGGTTCAAGAGGGAATACGTGTGAGCCTTGGTTTATTATCCTCTTTATTAGTATCATGGTTCTCATTCTTATTGGCAAGAATTAGCAGCAGTTTGATTGTCGGGGAATTTTTAGCCTAGAGATTTTTTATTGATGGGCTGAAAAGTAGAACCAGAGGTTGGTCTTCACTGCTTCAAGAAGAAAATGCATAAGCCAAAATCTTTCTGATGATAAGACTGACCTTTGTTATATCAAGATCATATGTTGCAGAGAACGCAGTCCGTCAGATCATTTGTTACGGTGATTGCAGTTGGTCAGTTGCTAATGCATTATGTACTGGTGTGACTTGAACTGTGAAGTGTTGTAAAATACGTGATATGGCAGCAGCAGGTAAACTAAACTTGTGATAATATGATACTAACAGCCCCTCGGATAAATTTTCTGATGTTCAGAGCCATAGGACTAAACAAGGTAGAAGTACTTTGTAATCAGAAATTCCGTACAAGCATGTCTGCAGCTGGAGTTGTGTATAAATATAGATTTTAAATGTAAAAGATAGCTTGATAAATTGAACAGTTTGAGTGACAGACCATTTTTAAGCTTGTGTGGCATTGATGGGAAGTTCTTATTGTGATGAAATATAATACTTAACATAGAGTCTAAGCATGTATACAAGGAGCAAGTCCTTTCAATCTGGTCTGGGATTTGTAGTGAGTATTTTCTGTAAAATTTTGTACAGATTATATCGTTGGTAGGATCTTCTGTGTTGCACTGTATTTATTTGTGCACACTCGTCATATTGTTACAAAAATCCGAAAGAACATCTAAAGGCAACTTTGTGATTAGTTTAGAAAGGTTTCCTTGATATTTACTGCTGCTTGATTCTGTAACACACCAATGATCCAAACATTGGCCTGGGGTGAAAGTACATTCTCAACCATAAACTACTAGTAGAACGTCTTGCTTAGGGTAGGAGAAGTAATTTAAATGATGAGAATCGTATAGCCTATGTCGTATCTAGAGATAGAAAAAGGCAATCTGTCGCAGCTCATTGTGTTTGTTAAGCTATGGAGGAGCTTTTGATCCATAAAAAGGTTTAAATGTCACAGTTTCACGTCTGGTATTGCACACGCTGGTTGTATGTATATATCATATATGCCCCTATAAGGCCAGAACTACTCAGCAATTCAGCATACATACATGATAAATGTTTGTATTCTGTCAACAACCACTGGCTGTGATGCTTTTCATTGCTCAAATATGTTTTCCCGACTTTTCAAGAAGCAAGCATCATTTTTGTCTGATAACTACTAGAAACATATTATTAAGTTTCTCTTGGTTATACTGTCGTAATAGTTCCTTGTACCAGTTACGAGCTGAAACAGAAGGTTAATCAACTCTGCATCATTGTACTCTTATGAGCAATCTACAAATTGTTATGCTTCAGATGAACCATTATTCTGAATTTATTTTACACTTAAGATCTTGCTGATGAATGTAAGGTTCAAAACCGTGTTGTTAAGAGTCTGATATAGAGATTATCTACTGACAGTAATGACTCTCCTGCTCTCCACAAACAGTTTCGTCGTTTGCATGCTTTTGTTTTAACAATCATTATTATCATCGTACGATTAAATTTGACACGGGTTTACAATTAGAAATAGTGAAATAAGGAAACTTGTGGTATATTATAGTCGAATTGAAAATTTGATAATGATTAATGATGTACATTCTCTTAATATAAATAATGAATGGTAAGACTGTGTCCTAGGAGGGGTATCTAGTCTTAATGAGGTTGATCTAATGCAATCTTTTGATGATTTGATACCCATGTATGTCTCAATTAATTTACGGGTATAACGACTGTTCTGTAATATTACGGCATCTTTCTTCTGTCTTTTTATGCTGGATGAGCTGAATTTCAGCTCTTTGCAGTCCCACTATTTTACGCGTATCCTTAAACAGCAAACTAAATTGAGTGAACCCTATGGCTGTGGCATTTGGGTGAATGAAAATGACTACAGATTGGAATTGTCCGGCTTATATCGGATATGAGAAATTCTTACCCTCATATTTCTATTCTGGAACACACCCTCTAATCATTAAATTCTCATTTCCACATTCCAAACAACCCCCTTTTGTTATGAGCTAGACCCTATCAGTATCAGTTAGGCTTATATGCCAAGTTTGCCACATCAAGTGACATTCCTGTAAATACTTGCACCAAGTTTGTCATCTCAATCTACAACACTCGATTTAAGTTATTAAAAATACTCTTAAGCCCCCTTATTTATTAATAAAGCCAATTGATTTTTTTCCTATTGAAATACCTTTCTCTGAGTTTCTTCCCTAGTCCCTCTATGTCTCCAAACATTTTGGAATCAAATATGGACATACACTCTCTTGTTCTCTTAATGTTTATCTCATTTTAACTACTCCACATATCATATAAATGGAAAAATTAGACAATTGAAACGGAGGGAGTAATATTAACAATAAACGCTTACAAGTTGCAAGAATTACTTCCTCAACGGTAGAGCTAAGCACAAACCAATAAATAAATTTACAAAAAAACAAAAACAATAAGGTGCATACAACATTACAACGTGGAATATGATTGAGCAAACAAACGGCAGAGATTGTATAAGAGATGAAAGAAGAGCCGTTGATTAAGATGACCTGGATTATGACTGGCATTATCGTCCTCACGTTGTGACAGCTAATATCAATTATGAAACTTAATTTATAAATTTAATAATTCTTGAAAATAAGAAATGTTGAGATTTTGAGTTATCGAGAGATGGATGGGTTGGTAGGCCGTCGACCGTCAACATGATTGGCGGGACGTGAAACCTATCACGTTTCTAGTTTTCACCACTTCACCACCATGCTCACCCCACTATTTATCGTGGGACCTTATTTTTAAAAAATTACGATGAGTTTTATTCATTTATATTAACTTACTTAAAAAAATTACTTAATATTTCGTATTAGCATATAAGATAATAAATTTATAAAATAAGTAGTGATAAATATTACAATAAAAACTATTTTCTCACCAAAAAAAGAACAATAAAAACTATTTAATTAAGTTCTTCAAATGGGTTTCAAAAAAAAAAAAAAAAAAGTTCTTCAAATTCATTCTTTTCAAAAAAAAGGAAAAAAAAAAAGTTCTAAAATTTCATATTACATCAAACGTATTCAAGCTGGTAAAATTAAGTGTAGGTAAATAAAGGATGATTTACAAAAGTATGGTTAGTTTAAAACTTATTTACACTTTTGCTTCAAAATGAAACTTAATTATGGAACTACTGTCCACGTAGGCTGGATAAGTTCATTTTTGTTTTTTTATTTTTCTAAGTAAAATCGCTACCTCTAGTAGCGATTTATGTACCAAAACCGCTACTTAAGATAGCGGTTTTACCCTTTATAAATTGTTACTCCATACCTTTACTTGGAGTACTAAAGACAAACCGCTACGGTTTGTCTCTAAAGAAAAAATTACCCCAAATAATGTATTATTGAGCCTGCGTGGACTGTATTTTCTTAAACAAGTTTCATTCCAACGCAAAACCGTAAATAAGTTTTTTAAAAGCTATATTTTTTTAAATCATCTGTAAATAAACACGTTTTTAGAAGTTAATCATACTTTCATGTTATGTTGAAAGTTATACGGTACTCCGTATATGTTTAATATCAATTTTAGAAGTTAAACACTTTTACATTATTCTGTTTTTGGTAATAGTATTAATTTATTCCCCTAATCCCACAATGCACTTTTTTTTTTTTTTTTTTTTGTAAGGAAATCCCACAATGCACCTTTTCACCCGTTATCTCTATTATTTTTTCCTTACACCAATCCATTTTTCAGCACACTTTTTCTTTCATTGCATTATACTAATTTGTGCGCAATTATTAGTTCTTAAAGAACTTTTGATAGCGAGGGTATTAGAGGAATGAATGAAGGGATGTATTAGAGATTTTGTTAACGATTACTTATTTTTTAGAATATGTAATGAGTACATTTAACGTATTACCTTTGTTTCATAAATTTTTACATGCTTTGTTTACAATAAAATTATGAATGAAAAGGGAGTAGAAAAGTTTTTTTTTTTTTTTTTTTTTTTTTTTTTGACAAGAGGGGGAGTAGAAAAGGAAGTGAAAAGGTAGATATCCGAAGTGATGTAAGAAAAAAATATAGTAGATACTACTCCCTCCGTCCCATAATTTCGTGCCTGTATACCTTTTTACGTGTCCCAAAATATTGTGCCTACTTCAAAAAATAGCACATAATTATTACTTACTTTTTATTTTTCCCATACAAAATACACATATACCCAAACAATTATTACTTACTTTTTCTCTTTTTCATACAATATTCTCTACTTTTTATTATTCCCATACAATATTCTCTACTTTTTATCTTTCTAATATAATATTCCACTACTTCCTCCATTCTCATTAATTACCGTGTTTTTTGAGAAATAGGCACGAAATTATGGGACGGATGGAGTATAAGAGAGATTATTAACTGAAAATGTTTAAAAACTTTCCCTATTTTCTTTTAAATGCAACACATTTTCTTGACACGCACTTTGAGAATAAATTTAATTAATCAATCAAAGTCTTAATCCTGTAAGTAGGGTCGGTTACATGAATCAAATTTGATTATTCCGTGTAGAGGTGTTCACGGGGCGGTTTATATCCTAAACCGCACCAAATAGCAAAATTGTGGTTTGTATTTTTTTTAAACCGCACCAAACCTCATTTCTAACAAAACCGCACCGCAAAATGCGGTTAAGTGCGATGCGGTTTGCGATTTAACCATAGTTTTTTAAAACTATAATTATTTTTTTAAAAACAAAACTTTTATTTTATTTTGAGATTATTAATTTATAATTCAAATATTAAACTCTTTTTTAACCTTTAATTACCTAATAGTAAAAAATTAGCTCATATTTTTTCGTTCTTATATATATATATTAATAAAAATATAGTATAAAAAACGCAAACCGCATCAAAGTGCGGTTTGCGGTGTAGTTGGTCTAATTTTTTTGGGAAACCGAACCAAACCGCAAACCGCAGTTTGGTCATTTTAAAAAACTGCGCCACACTCTGAACAACCCTAATTCCTTGTAGCCATCGACAAAAATCTTCCTCCTTCATCCTTTACGATCCAATGTCTCATCCTAATGTAAATCCATATACTTCATATCCTTCCTAACTCCTTCCAACCAAGTCACTTTTGGTCTCACTCTCCCTCTTTTAACCCCTCCATGGTCCTACTCTTCCACTCTTCGTACGGGTGCACCCTCGGGTCTTCGTCTTACATGCCGCCCAAACCAACGTAGGCGATTTTCCCTTAGTTTGTCTAAATTCCTGCCACACCTACTTTCTTGTGAATAACCTCAATTCTGATTCTATCTCTTAGAGTGTTCCCGCATATCCACCTTATCATGCGCATTTCCGTAACCTCCATCTTTTTAATGTGTTTCTTCTTAGAAGTCCAACATTCTGTACCATAGAGCAACACTGGTCTTATGGCAATTGTATAGAATTTTCCCTTCAAATGTAAGGGAATGCTTTGGTCACATAACACTCCCGTGACCGTACCGCTCTCCATTTAAGCCACCCCGACTTAATCCTATGGGCCATGTCTTGTAAATTTCACCATTTTTCTGGATGAACGACCCAAGATATTTAAAACATTCACTCATGGTCAAGTCCTTTACATCCAAACTCACCACATCATTGCTTGTCTCCCTCTGAGTACCAAAGCGACATACCAAATATTCAGTCTTTCTCCAACTTAGCTTAAACCCTCTAAATTCCAACATTTGTCTCCATTGCTCCAACTTGGCATTAACCCCATCTTTAGTTTCATCCACCAAAACGATATCATCCGAAAACAGCATACATCATGGAACCTCAGCTTAAATTAGTCTAGTTACTCATCTAGAACCGTTGCCCAAAAAAAAAAAAGACTTAATGCAGACCCTTGATGCAATCCAATTGTAATAGGAAAATCTTTTGTCAACCCTCCACATGTCTATCCTCACATTTGCTGACACATCCCGATACATATCCTTAACCAGGTCCACGTACCTTCGTGGGATACCTTTTTTCAACATTTCCCACCAAAGTACCTCTCTTGACACCTTGTCATATGCCTTCTCTATATCAATAAAGACCATATGAAGATCCTTCTTCTTTACCCTATAAAACTCCATCATTTGTCTTATCAAATGGATAGCTTCCATAGTAGATCTCCCAGGCATAGAACTAAATTGGTTATCTAAAATGCTTGTGCATGCCCTCAACCTACATTCAATCACTTTGAGAATAGATTAAGTAATGTAAATGGACAAATTAATCAAATTAATTTATACACGTAATACCTAACCATTCTCTTATCTTGGTGTTTAAATTATTTTGATAAAGTAGTTTGTTTACCAAATTTAATCTACTCCTAATAAAGCGTGTCAAAAAGGTGTGTTGCATTTAAAATTAAAAAAAGCGGAGGCATATATCGGAGTAAAAAGTATAAGAGCAAGTGCAATGGAGGGGATTCACTCTCCTTTAAGCCTTCTCTCTCCTCTTAAGAGGAATCCCCTCCATTGTAGACATAAATGTTAGAGTCTTCTTACCAATAGGAATATGGTTCTTCCTCTTGGGGAAGAGGATGATGAAATAGGGAAGGGGATTGGAAAAGGTGGGGACAAAAACAAAAATAAAAAAAAATAAAAAGCAAAAAGCAAAGTTGGACCAGCAGCTGCAACGTAGCACGTTCCTGCTGGCCATTTGGGCTGGCGGGGCCCACTTGTTGGTTGCACATGCTGACATTTGTTGCTTTCTCATTGGTTGACATTTACACATGCTCTAATTTTTCAAACGGTAATAAAAAAAACGGTAAGTTATTTTTAAAAAAAAACACCAACGATTATTTTTTTTTTCTCTATAAAATGAACCTAAATTTGCCATATTTTCAAAATCTTCATTTTCTCCATATTTTCTCTCCTTTTCCTATTAATCTCACTCATATTCAATTTAATTCATTACATTTTATCTTTCAATATGGATCGAAATAATCCAAATTTAAGAAGAAATTTGAATTTTCAAAATATTCCAAACTCTCAAAATAATTCAAATAATCCTCCTTTTGATCCAAATATCCTCAATAATGCTCAATTTCAAGCTGCCTTACAATGGTTTGGTAATCAACCAAGACCAATGAATCCAAATGATACAACCCAATATCACCAACATTTTCCTCAACATAGTCCATTATTTCCCATGTCTCAACATTTTACCCAACCTATGGACCATTCTCGGGGAGGAGATGGTAGCACGAACGCAACTCCAACTGAAGAGGTACGAGAAGCGCAACATCTAGAGGATCTTGATGATGTTGTCGTTGAAGTTTCTCCTGGAGAGACTATGCCGAGGAATTCATGGAATGTAGCAGAGGATAACGCACTTGTTTCGGCTTACATCAACGCCGGGGGAAATGTTACAAAAAAATACAAAAAGGACTAAGGCTGGATTTTGGGCTGCAGCTTGTAAATTGTACGAACAAGCACGACTTGCAAATCCTGATGAGCTCCAGAAGACGAGGAATACTAAGTCCTTACAACAACGTTGGGATCACATTAATTCGAATGTGAACAAGTGGGTAGAGGTATACAGTTACGAGATACGACATCCGAAGAGTGGACAATCAGATGCAAATGTTGAAAAACGTGCACACAATGCTTTTGCAATGGCGAACAAAGGTAAACATTTCCATTTACAACATTGTTTTGAAGTTATGCAAAATTTTCCAAAATGGGATCTGAATGAGGTCATGCAATTACCTGCTGAAAGCGGAGAAAGTGCAAAACGATCTGAACCAGAATCACCAACTGTTGAAGGTGGAAAACCACGGACTCGACCAGATGGCATAAAAAAGACGAAGAGACTAGCAATGGAATCTGGTTCTTCGTCTTCATCTATAAACCTTGATTCGTTCAATACAACTCTTGCAGAATATAGTGACAAGAGGTATGACCAAGGAGAACGAATGATGGCCTTAATACGAGAGCGAGATGAAGAAAGGAAGAGGAGATGAAGTTCAAAATGTTAAATATGTTGATGATGAAACTTAACCTTGATGAATTTGAGCTAGAAATGTACAAGAAGCTTAGAGAGGAATTTAGTAATAGGTTCTTATGAAGTTGTTCTTCTTATGTTATTTTAATGTTTTATTTATTTCATGTTCTTAATGTATTAGTTTTTTTTAATGTTTTATTTATTTCTGAATTTATTTTAATTTTTTTAATGTATTAGTTTTTATTTTTTAATGTTTTTAATATATGTTTAATCATATTGTAATAGTTACTATTATAATTACTATTATTATGACTCTAATTATTATTATTAGGAGTGGTAAAAAACAAAAAACAAAATTCAGTGTGTAGTCACTTCATGCATTGATATATCTACTTCATATGTCAACTTTTCTGTAAAGCTATACATATCTCTGCAAAGCTATAGATTATTGTCATGCAAAAATCTAAGCTTCTGACATACATCTCAAAATTCAAATTTTGAAATGTGTTACCAAAATATTCTCTTGCATTATTACTTAGTTCATGTGGATCATATTGTCTATATATTGACCATTTTCATTCACATATAATTCTATCATTGTCCTACAAATACTAACATTCAGTTTTATACAAATATTATCAAAAAATTTTAAAATGAATTTTGATTCTAGTTCTTCTACTTCTAGTGATGAAATATACGATTCCATGTTGTTAGATTTTATTGAGGAAAATCGACAACAACAAGTGATAGAGGATGCAGTAACATATGTTATTAACACCGATGTAGAAGAACAAGAAGTTCGTGGTTCACGACGTGAAAAAATGTCAAGGTGGATCGTTCTAAGAGATCGTGAAGAAGCACATGATCGGTTAGTTACAGACTACTTTAGTGACCATCCATTATACGGCGATGAAAAGTTTCGACGTAGGTTTCGTATGCGAAAACCTCTATTCATGAAGATAGTGAATACGTTGAGTGCAACTGATAGATTTTTTTAACAACATCCAGATGCCACAATGCGACTAGGTGCTTCTGGAATTCAAAAATGCACTGCAGCAATGAGAATGTTAGCATATGGTTGCCCAGCTGATCAAATTGATGAGTATCTAAAACTTGGGGCAAGTACGGCAAGAGAATGTCTTATACACTATGTTGATGGAGTGATTCGTGAATTCTCAACAGAATACCTGCGGAAGCCAAACGCGGAAGATCTTGTTCGTCTCCTTAAACAAGGGGAAGAAAGGGGTTTTCCTGGCATGATGGGGAGCATCGATTGTATGCATTGGGAGTGGAAAAATTGTCCAGCTGGATGGAAAGGAATGTATCAAGGAAGATCTAAAAGGGCGACGGTGATCTTAGAAGTTGTTGTTTCTTGGGATTTATGGATTTGGCATGCCTTTTTTGGCACGCCAGGGACATGCAACGATATAAACGTTCTTCAGCGTTCTCCCGTCTTTGACGATATTTTAAATGGTCGAGCTCCACAAGTTAATTTCACTATGAATGGAAATACCTATAACCAAGGATATTATCTCACACATGGGATTTATCCAAAATGGGAAACATTTATTTCCGCTATTACCTCCCCATAAACCCCTAAACAGAAGTTGTTTACAATCAAACAAGAGAGTATTAGAAAAGATGTTGAGCGTGCTTTTGGTGTGCTACAAGCTCGATTTGCAATAATTAGAAATCCGGCTTTGGCATGGAGTGTCGAAATGCTATGGAAAATCGTGATGGCGTGTATTATCATGCACAATATGATTGTAGAAGATGAGCGCGATAATTACATGAATTATTGGGATCCAACGGAATTTTCCACCGAACAACCTGAGAACCTAGCAGGATCATCAAGGAGAACAACAACAACTTTCACCGTTACCCCTGGGCGTTATAAAGATCAAAATTTAGCTACATTGATGGCTACACGAGATAATCTTCGTGACAAACAAATTAATACATCTTTGAAGAATGATTTGCTGGAACATATATGGGTTAGGTTTGGGAGCACTTTCATCAACTCACCTTAAAAATAAAACGTATTTATGATTTAGTTTCTCGTTTTTCAATTATCGGCTTTTAATGTATTTTTATGTTTCCGAATTTCATGAATTGTCTTTTTACATAATGTATTGCAATGTTCCATTTTAACTATTTTATATGGATGACAACCGTTCTATTTACTAATTATGCATTTTAAATTATCATTAATTGTACATTTTTGTAATATATTAAAATTGCCATTAATCTAATTATATTAAAATTTACAAATATCTAAAATAGAAGTTGGTTAATAAATAGAAAGGAAGGGGATTCATGAATCCCCTTTGTTGTGGGAAAAAATAAAGAAAGAGGAAGAGGAAGAGGATGGAGATAGTGAAAAATGATGTGGAAGAAAGAGAAATGATGTGTCAAAAGGAGAGAAGGAGAGAGAAGAATTAAGGAGATTCATGAATCCCCTCCATTAAACATGCTCTAATAAATGCGGTTTTTCAAATTTGGAATAAAGTGTAGTGTCAAGAACATTATAAAACTAACGAAAACAGAAAATGTTTAATTTTTTTTTTATGAAACTAAGGTAGTATTACTCAATAATTAGACTATGATATATTTGGCTTCACCACCGGAAAATTTTCAAAAGTTTGGCTGGCTGTCGAAAAGGTGTCGACAGTTTGTCCATTAGAAAGTTCTTACGGTTTTCAGGCGTCGATGGTTGAAAATATTTCCGATAGCTGCCAAAACCATCGAAAAAATGTTTTCTAATGACTAATTCATCGGAAAAGTGCACATTTTCAATATAGAGAAAACCGACAACGGTTTTGACGAAAAACCATCAAAAGTTGATTTTCAACGGGTTTTTTTTAGTTATTTCTGACGGATTTTAGCCCTCGATACTGGGGTGTTTATGTAGTGTATCTCTTTTGCTAGCTAGCTTATCCTTTTTACTCCTCATTATTTATACAATTCTATTCACTCGCTCTTATTATATGTAACTTTTTCCTTACACCTACTAATTACCTACAAACTACTATCCTAGGAACAAGGGTTTCTATTAAGAGAATCAAACTTTCAACTAATAAGGGTCCCTTAAAAAAAATAAAAAATAAAAAATAAATAAAAAATAAAATAAACCAAAAAAAAACCTAGTATTAAGGGAATATTTTGAGCTTATGTTTTTAAAAGTGTTTGCAAGAACTTATTTTAATTATTAAATCTATTTTATTTTAATTGTTTTGTTTCTATTAAAACAAAAAAAGGTCTTTGCATTTTGTGCTTTCTATTCTATTTATTGATTAGTATTAGAATCATATTAATCTATTTACTTTCTTTTTGAAAGCTATAACTTATTTTCTACTTAATAAATCAAATATATCTACAATCTCTTAAATTCTCGTTAAGAAAATCCAAGTCATAAGTTCATATAAGACAAGACAAATTCAATAAAGAAAATAAGCATGATCGATATGAGCGAGCTACCCAATTTCATTTTACAATAACAAAAAAAACAGAGCTAGTTTTATGTTAGATATATATGTATAACATTCGTTATAGGTTAGTTGACAATAATATATGAATGATATGGAGTAATAATGCAAATTTATAATAACGATGCAAAATATGATAAATTCAACTAGAGCTGGGCATGGGTCGTACCGGCCCGCGGGTGGCACGGGCCCGACACGACATTGGCATGGCACGGTGACCGAAGAGTGGGCCGTGGGCCGTGCGTGAACACGATTTTGAATTGTAGGCACGAGCACATTGGGCGGCACGGTTGTTTAGCCTGCAGCACGGCCCGTGCAAAACGGCTACTTTAACGTCTTTATCTCAAGTTCTCAACGGCTATTTGCCTATTCCCAACAACTCTTTTGCAACAGCTATTTTTCTCCTCTATCTAACGACTACTTCATCAACTTCTCTATAAATACTTCATTTCATCTTCCATTTTTTTTCACAATTCATCAACTCTCTTATTCTCAAATCTATTATTCTCTAATTCTCAAATCTCTAATTCCCTACTCTCTTATAATCTCTACTTCTCAAAAAAAAAAAAAAAAAATCTCATATAATATTTAATTCTCTAATTCTCTCAATTATAAAAATAAATAAAAAATTATAAGTTCGGGAAATTGATTAGTGGAAAGCAATCGAAGCGTCGTTGTAAGATCTAACTCAACTTTATTTTAATTTGTTATTGTTATTATTATTATAGTTGTTGTTGTTGTTGTTTTTATTGTCACTATTATTGTTGTTATTATTATTGTTATTATTATTAATCATGGCATCAAATCTGAACTCTTCCTCCTCCTCTAGGAAAGCCAAGTCAAAACGTGCCCATTCCACCCAAATGCCAAACACCCAAATTCCCTCCCCTAACATGCCCTTCCCTAACACTTCCACCCCTTTCTTCCATCCACAAACCATGGGAGGATTCGAACAATTTGACAGTATGTCTCATTGGAATATGTGTAGTTCGGGATTTCAACAAAACCAATTCTCACCTCATTTATATGGTTCACAACATGAATTTTCTTATCATATTAGCCAAGGTAGCAAAACAAATGCCGACGGGTCTAGTGAACAATCCACCCAAATGCCAAACACCCAAATTCCAAACACATTAGACCAAAGGTGTACCGAATAGGAATTTGCCGCTACCAAACAAAAGAGTAATGTTTGGAATAATTTTTTTTTAAGTAGAGATGGAACCAAAGCCAAGTGTAAGACATGTAACAAAATTTATTCGGCCGAAACCAAGGGAGGGACAGGACACCTAAGTAGACTTGTCCACACATGTGGTGAACCATCTAGTGATCCAACTCAACCCAAAATTTCTCAATTCCATCCACATGGCTTCACTTACAATTATGAGAGAGATAGGGATGAACTTGGGAGAATGTTAGTACATGCTAAACAACCCTTTCTTTTCGTCAAAAATGATCCCTTCAACAATTACATTAACCGAGCACTACAACCCTAACACAAAAAAATCTCTAGAAAAACTGCCCGTTCGGCTGCCATGAAATCTTTTCAAGAGTACAAATTGAATTTATATGATTGATTAAGTAATCTTACTTGTAGAGTTTCTTTGACCGCGGATGCATGGGATAGTGGTTACGGATATTACTATTTGTGCGTGACTTGTCATTGGTTGGATAATGATTGGTTATTACAAAAACGCATTATCCATTTTAAAATGCTTGAATACCCCCATATCGGTCTTAATATTTCTCATCATTTAATGCAAGCTATTGATGCATATAATCTTAGGCCTAAAATCATGTCTATGACTTTTGATAATGCAACTTCTATGACGTTTAGTGCAATTTTAGTTAAAGCACAATTGATCGGTGTAATATTAGATGGAGATGCACTTCATATTAGATGCATTTGTCATGTTCTTAACTTGTGTGTGAAGGATGGAACACAAGCAATAGGTCCATTTTATCACAAAATTAGAAATGCTATTATGTCTATTAACAGCTCTAACATGAGATTTCAGGAATGGAAAGCTTTTTGTAGGCAACAAAGGATAAAGGCTATTATAATCAAGACGGATTGTGCAACTAGATGGAACTCCACCTATGAAATGTTGAGTATGGCAATCGAGTACAAGGGTCCATTAACAATTTTTTATATTAAAAAATTTCCACAATTTGCTTTACTAGATGATGATTGGTCTAATTGTGAAAAATATATGCAGTTTTTACAATTATTATATAGTATGACACATTGTTTTTCTTTTGTTTATAATCCTTGTGCTCATTCTTTTCTTAGCAATGCTTGTTTACTTGCACAACTTTTCAACAAACATCGATTACAACATGATTATGATGGATATCTTCCATCAATGGAGGAAAAATGGCGTAAATATTACACTACTATTCCTATGATTTATATTTTTGCTTCTATATTAGATCCAAGGCAAAAGTATGATGACACATTTTTATTAATTGATATTTATTTTCAATGCATGAATTTTGAAGATGGTGTTGAATCTTATAAAACTAATATGACCAATCAATTTTTTGCCTTATATAGAGTTTATGAATCTAAATATGGAACCGTGTCTCGATTTGCTCCTTCTCAATCATCCAAAAATGTAAGTAAAAGGGCCAAAGGTTTATTTGCACAAGCTGCTAACATGATGTCTAAGTTTTCAAGTAGTGAATCATCATCTAGGAGAACACAAAGCGATGTTTCGAAGTTGCAAATGTACATAAGTTACGATTTCATGAAAGGCATTGACGACGAAGAGAAGTACAACCTCGACATCCTTGACTGGTGGAAAACACAAAGCACGAAACATCCAATTTTGGCGGCAATGGCTCGTGATATTTTTGCTATCTAAGTCTCCTCCGTTGCCTCCGAAAGAGCTTTTAGTGCGTCAGGAAGGGTTTTAGATGATAGAAGAACAAGTCTAAAACCTAAAACACTTGAAATGTGTGTTTGTTTCAAGGATTGGTTGGATGTCGAAACTCGCTCTCAAGATCATACTTATGCACAAATCGACGACGATGAAGGAATGTCGGGTTCTACTAGTTCTCAATCAATTCAATTGGGCGATGAACTTGAACAAGAAGAAGACGAAGACGAAGAAGAACAAGAACAAGAAGAAGAATTAGATTACATACTATTAATTATAACTAATTTTTGTATTATCTTTCCCCGTATAATAAAATAAGCTATGAAGTTAAGTTATTATCAATTATTGTACGATTTTTATAATTATCAATTATTGTATTATTGATTTATCGTACCAGCGTATAATAAAATAAGTTATTCATCAATTCTTGTGTTATCGCACTAGTCAATTTTTTAATTATATGAATTCTTGTTTTTTGCTAAATAATAAAGATGTATAATAATAAAAAAAAATTTAATTATAATATAGTAATAATAAAAATAACATAAATAATAAAAGAGTAAAGATGTATAATAATTAAAATAAGATTACTAAAAAGAACATTAATAATATACAATACAAAAACATAAACATAAATTAATAATTTTTTTTGGAATGGAATTAATAAAATTATATAAATATACTCATTTTAAAAGTTGCTAAACAAATTATAATAATAAAAAAAATTAATTATAATATATTAATAATATAAATAATATAAATAATAATACAAAGTAAAAGATGTATAATAATAAAAATAAGAATACTAAAAAGAACATTAATAATATATAATACAAAAACATAAACATAAATTAATAATTTTTTTTTGAATGTAATTAATAAAATTATATAAATATACTCATTTTAAAAGTTGTTAAACAAATTATAATAATGATAAAAAAAATTAAATTATAATATATTAATAATAAAAATAACATAAATAATAATAAAAAGTAAAAGGTGTATAATAATAAAAATAAGAATATTGAAAAGAACAGTAATAATATTATAATACAAAAACATAAACATAAATTAATAATTTTTTAATGGAATTAATAAAATTATATAAATATACTCATTTTAAAAAATTCTGGGCGGCCTGGTGCCCGACACGGTAGGCATGTGGGCTGTGCCGTGCCGTGGGCTAGGGTTTCCAAACGGTGGCCCGGCTCGGCACGAGCCACCACCAGGCACAGCGAGGTACGACCCGCGGTGGCCCGACACGGCACGTTGCCCACCTCTAAATTCAACAAATGTCTTAATATGCATGTGTAAAATTTTTTAGAACAGCTTCAATTATGGATTAGGGTTTTACCCTTGTCAAGCTTTGGAGATGTTTATAAGTAAAATATAAACTATATTCTTAAGTAAACTATACATATCTACAGCAAAATGGTAGTTATTGAAATAGATAAAATGTTAGCCTTCATTTGTACTTGACTCAAATAGTTCAACACCTTTTATATACACCCGAGTGCATATAGAGGTAGGTGCACTTAATGGTGCTTTTTTGCTCAATTGATTTCATTTTAAGATTTTTAAATAAGCAAAAACATATTAAATGAGCAAAAATTATCTTTGGGTGCAAGGTGCACCCGGTATATATAGATTTTTTAAAAAAATAATTTTAGAGTACTCATATATTCAAGGCCAAAAAGGACTACTTGATTTAAATTCACCACTACTACAAAAGGTAGTAATATGTTGATATAATTTTAGTTAAAATTTTGGTATTTTCAATATGTTTTGATAAAAAAATATAAAAAAAGGTTATGACATGGCTATTGCTATAAGGCCAATAACACAAATAAGATTATTAAATTGGATACCTTAAATGGGATTTAATAATCTATAACTATATATCCAATTAAGTCTTAGAAGCATTAGTATGTGTGTTTACGAAATCCCTATCTTTTAAAAAATATGAGATGACTCTTAAAAATAGTATTTGGACAACTTTAAAGTCTAAAATGTTTAATTTGTTAACTTATTTGCCTTCATTAATTAATGTGTAATGTGTTATGTTTACTATTAATAGTAAGAAGATTATCAATTACTCGTATAACTTATTATGAATATATCTATCGACGTTATTCCTAAGTACTCATTTATAATTTTTGTTTGTCATGGTATGTTATATCTTATACTCCATATTATAGATGTCATGTCATGTGTTTGGTGCATTGGTATATTAAGTTCACTGCTTTAGAAAGTCAAACTAATTTTGATTGTTATGGAGAATACATATTGGGTTATAAGTCTGTCTAAACTAGTTGCTGAAGGAGCCTAACTTTGATTTAAATTAAGTGATTTTGATAATCTGAGTATGGATTAAACTTTGTGGACTAAATTTTCATGGAAATGCAATGAATTCTTTAAAAATTCAATATTGCTTGTACTTTATGAATGAGATTGAGAGAGAATAAAACGTATATTCTATATTTCATATGATGGAGGTATGCATATATATACAATACAATTGATAGGGTTTGTTTGGAGAATAATAAACCTTAAAACCTATAAAGTTTCGGAATAATACAAGGGCATAATGGACATCCACAAATATATTTCATAACATAATGTTAATTATATTTTTTTTAAACTCACAAGAATAGTGTGCGGAAATTTATAGCTTCTAAAAGTATGTTTACATATTTTCCTTCATTAATGTTGCCAATAAATAAGTTTGTAACATAAGATCAAACCAAAATAGCTCATCGGACATGGCTAGACAAGGCTAGATATGACACGCGCGTTAGCCGCCCTAATTAATTTAAAGGTGCATTACTACATTCTACTCACCTAATGTATATTCATTACATTCTACTCACCCAATGTATATTCATCTGAACTAAATTACTTATCTGAATTTGGGTTATAAAACTTATCTTACCATAAATTGAGCCAAAATACGATGAGACGATAAGCAAGACTAATGTGTACCTATAATCATATCGGGATTGTAAACTAAGACTAGTAACTTAAAAGATTAATCCTTTATACCAAAAAAAGGGCGGTCAAAATGTCAAATAGCAAAAACCAGTGTGATAGTAAGAATAACGCATAAAAGTAGTTGAAGCAGTAGCAAAATTGAGTAATTTACGTGCTAAGCAACTGTTAATAATGAATCAATCTGTGTCCTGTTGTACTACGACTACTGTCCACTACTACTACTGTTACTTACCATTGCAAACCCCGTCTTTCCTCTTTCTCTCTCCTCTTATTTTCTTAGAAGAGAGAGACAGACTTAAAGATCACCTGATTTTCCAGTTTTTAATTCTTTAAACCCCATTTTCATCAATTCTTTCAACCGTTTTCCACCCCCATTATCCTGTTTTCCTAGGTAGTAGAATACCCTTTAATTATTATTTCATTAATTTCAATCTATTATGGTTTTGGGTTTGTGTTTTTTGCAGAATTCTTGCAGATCTGTATGTAAATTTTGACCAAATTCTGGGAAAAAATTGAAAATTTTCTCTTAGACATTTTAACAAACACTTGGTGTTCATAACCTGAATGATTGATATAAAACATTGTTGGAGTGAATTTTTTCTTATGTGGGGCATTTTTCATTGTGGTCCAATTGTCCCTACTTGCTTTGTTTTATTTTGCATAATTTTTTGGCAATTCTCTCTTTCTTTTTTTGATGGGTATAGCTAATGTGGTACCATTTCACACTTTTGACAACATCGTTTATCTCATGTCTTGTTGCAATCAATTATAATGTTGTAATTGAATTCTGGGTGTGAAATTAGCTAGTGCCCAATATTGTGATTTATGGGTTGATTTTTGTTTGTGGTTGATATTGTATAGGTATTTTGTAAGCTTTTGGAGTTGTTTTAATGGAGTCTCAAACTGAGGTAATTGTTGAGGAATGTAAGAATGATGGGGTCAATGAAATTGGAATTGATGAGAAACCCATTGTTGAAGGATTGGGGTTGAATCAGAATGTTTTTAATGATGGGAAGATTTCGGAATCGAATATGGTTTCGAAGAATGTGGTAAAGTCTGATGCTTTAAAGGGTTCTAAGATTAAATCTGGTGGTCCAAAAGGATCCAAAACTGGTGGGATTGAGATCTCAAAAGTATCTAAGGTATAGTGTAATCATACCACTTTTGATTATTTTTGGAGGGAAGAGGGTTTGAATCTTGCTTTTTTGGATTTTCAATTGTTTGAGTTGAGTGAATTAAAGTTTGCTGATGTGGATGCAGGAATCTGCTGCTACCAAGAAGGTGACTGAGAAAGCTAATGGGAAGACTGGAGTGTCCTCCATTCGTAAACAGAAACCGAGCTTAAGTCAAAGTCTGTCGTTCCCATCGAAAGGCAGTCTTGGCAATTCGCTGAAGAAAAGCCTTGATGTTACTCCTGTGAAATCCAACTCCAAGCAATCAATAGCTAATGTTAAAAAGGCCTATACCTCTTCTTCTGAGGCATCATTGACTTCGGGTTCTGTAATGGATCATACAAATGGCCAAACGCCGAGTGATTTTACTTCAAAGGAAACAAATCCTAAAAAGAATGGGATATCTGTTAAGCAAACATCAAGTGCATCTGCCCCAAGCATTAAGCGCTCTGTGGTAAAATTCACTCTTTTAGTGTTGAGTTTTGTGATTGTATATGTTGATCTTTAACACCATTCATAATGGCGCTTCTTCTTTGTCTTTTGATTTTGTATCAGTCAGCGAAATCTGGTTCAAAGGCTGCAAATGCTAATGATCACGCCTCCGAATCATCCCTGTATGTTTGGGCACCATGTAACTTTTCATGTTGAATTATGTATACTGACATGTTGCTTTGATTGCTACTTTTAAGCACATAAGCAACTTTGGATGCTAATTATCTTCTAAATGACTTTCAGAGTAGTTGATCAAAGTCCTATACCTGTCAAAGAAGTTTTTCCTGTGGTCGAGGATAGTGATGATTCCAAGGATTCAAATCAGTAATGTTCTTAACCTGCTACTTTGTGTTATTCTGATGTTTATCATACCAGTATTTTGATCTGATCTCGTTGATGGGTTATCCTATGTAGAAACCAAGATGATACTTCATCAAAGAAGAGTTGTACTTCTGGATTTGCATTCAGATTGGATGAACGTGCTGAAAAACGAAGAGAGGTATTATTCAGGAATGTAGTGTATTATCTGATATTTAGCTGGCAAAATAACTTTGTTGAGCTTTTATTATGAACTGTAATAACAATTGGTGTCTGTTAACTCCATCAGTTCAATATGAAAATTGAAGAGAAAATAAATGCCAAAGAGGAAGAGAAAAATAACTTGCAGGCCAAGTCTAAGGTACTGAATCTCAGCTTTCTGTACAAATACATCTATTTATGGTTATGGCTGTCTAGATTTTGACCTATCATATATTTATAGTGAATCTGATCCTTATTTCATCTATAAATATATGTTCTCTAATGTGTACAGGAGAGCCAGGAGGCAGAGATCAGGCGGCTGAGAAAGAGTTTGAATTTCAAAGCTACGCCAATGCCAAATTTCTATAAAGAACCTCCTCCAAAAGTTGAAATAAAAAAGGTAGCTTAGCCATGTGATTCCATGACTGATTTTTTTTTTTCTTCAGTTTTACGCAATTAAATGCTCCAATGTTCTAATCTGAATGTTATATAAGAATTGTATCCTTGAACTTTCTGTATTGATGCTAGTTTAGCATCAATGAAATTTCACTTTAACGCCACCCTCTTTTATTTTCTGGGCTCGTATTGGTTGGCTTGGCCAATTAGGAACTTGGATTTCATGTTAAGACTTCAGAAGCCTAATACTTTGAGCTGTCCATTACAATCTCTTATATGTTAAGGCCTGGTTTAGTTTAGTCTATATGTGATTCACCAATATTGTGTAAAAATGTAGTTCTTGAAAACTTCACGTGAGAATTTAGCTGCGATTTACCCCTCAATTATAATGCCTGATGTACTTTTGGAAGTTCATGTTTTATATTGATGTTTAGCAGATGTGTTTAGGCGTCTCTTTGGTGGAGGAACAGCTGTCATTCCCTGCTCCATAGGAGATTCTTTTTCTGTTACCAGGCTGCCCTTTATGCATAATGTTCTTGCTATGAATTTTATGGGCTCTAAGCTTAAGGATTGCCACACCCTTGGCTATGTGGCCATTATGTGTTGGAAATATTGTTGTCTGAGTCTCATACCTCAGTCCACACATTCTCTGCTAGATCTTTAGGGATGGCTCTTATCCATCCATATACTCAGGCTGTTAGTTTGTTGCTTAATGTTCTCCTTGTATCAGCTATATATATGTGTACCTCGTTATCATATGGAATACGTAGCTCTGATACTGCCTAAAACTTCACATGGTATCAGAGCACTTAATCCATGATCCATCCCCTTAGTAATTCATTTTGTTTTCTATCACTTCTTGTTACTTTCTTATCACAGCCTAACCCCAATGAGAATTAACAAGAACCGTCCAACTCCTTGTGATCTCAATTCCAAATCCTGCCAAGCGTGATGGCCAACATTATGTTGTCTTACAGCTAACCCTGAAGTCTGAAACTATAAAAATTTCACATTCACAAATTTCAATATCCTTTGTATAGAGACAGAATGAAGGCAACACTAGTGCTCAAGTTAGATTGCAAGTTGGAACCCTATTAAGCAAATAAGCATTATACAACACCAATATGTGATAACTTATATGGAGACTAATGGAGTAGCCGAGTAGGTTTAACAAAATTATCTCAAGGTAAAGTAACATAGTTTTGTATGCGTAAGCAAAGTCAATACAGCTGAAGTTAGATCACTATGTGTATGGGCTGTACAGACATCCAAACCCCGGCTCATACCCCCTACTCAACTGAATTGCCTGCTCTTATATTGTTGGATAGGTTTATTCCATTTAGTTTGTCTTTTTTCTTGTTTTTGATAATGTTATACTTCACAGATACCTACAACACGTGCAAAATCTCCAAAGCTTGGCAGAAATAAGAGCCCAGTTGCAGCAAATACTGCTTCTGAACTCGGTGCTCCTTGTGTAAGTCCTCGTGTGAGCAATGCGGTGAAGAGAGTTCATGCAAATGGTGAGAAAACTGCTGATGCTGCTAAAAAATCTGCAAAGAAATCCCAATCAAAGCTTCAGCCTCGAGAATCTGTTAATGCCAGAAGCGAAGATATTGTGAAATCTAAACCAAAGAAAAAGGAAGCAATAGCTGAAAGTGAGAAATCAAGTGGCAACGCAAAGGAAGAAACCCAAACTTCGCCTCAATCTCCTTTTGAGGTTGCTGAGGAAGCAAACCAAGTCTCCGCAGTGGAAATTTCCCAGGATAATGGACTGCTAACAAATACTACCAAAACCGAGGCCATGTCTAGTGAAATTATGGTTGGGGGTTGAGGATAGAGTTTCTGTTTCCGTGGATGCTGAAACTTCCTGCGGCTTGCTGAGGTTGATGCTGTTGTAAAAAGGGCATATGTATATTGAGAGTTGTATATCATTTATAATCTGTTATGTTAAGGGGGAAAAGATGAGAAACCTATGTATTGGCTGTTAAAGGTCAATATATTGTTGTCTTTCTTTTTTTCGTATTTTGTTCATTAATATTATAGTTTTTGGAACTTTGGGTAAAATATTCAATTCTTTGGTCTGGTTTCCCATCCTGTACTCAGCCTCAAAACACTAGAAAAGTATGATTTCAGAAAACATTGATAATTTCTCTGTACATAAATTCTGGAATATTTTTTTTCTTTTAATAGTAATCAATAGAGTATTGATATTTTCCTCAGTTGGCAAACCAATGAGCATGAATCAGGATATTACTCCTTTGTTTTGTGCCAATAATTTTTGTCCAACTAAATATGGAGTACATAATTAGTTGGGCAAGCTGATTATCAATTCTGTTTTTCAATAATTTGATCCTAAATATGTAACAGTAGTAATAATAATAATATAATAATAACAATAACAACAATAATCCTAGCAATTAAGTTGTCAAGTTCAATAGCGGAACAATTTTCAATTTCCTTATCTCGCAAATTCTTAGCTACATCCTTATGCAGCTAAGATAGCTGTATCACGCCTACAACAATATATTAACAAAACGCAAGCTACTTTCTTCATGCTCTTCTTGCACTGTTCTTCTTTCATTTTTCTTAGTTATTTCCTTGCTTTTATGATTCTTTCTTCACTTTCATAATAATTTTGATTGCAATTTTCTCTCTCCATTTTCTTCTCTTTCATTCGACATTTTCTCTTTCCTTTGTTTTCTACATCATTATGGATTTGGTTAATATTCAGAAGAGATCATCAATGGAGGTTAGTTTTTGTGTTATTGATTTTTAATTAGTTATATTAGGTTAGATTTTGGTTGAATTTGTAATTGATTTTCTGATTTTATAATTTGATGAATTTCAATTTGAGGAATTTGATGAATTTCAATTGACTTTTTGATGAATCTGGTGAATTAGAATATTTCAATTGAATTTTTGAATATGTTAAAATATAAATTTAATTGATGATTTTTTGTGATGAATTATTGAATTGCTACATCTTGAATTAGTTTGTTACAAGATTTTTTTTAATTAAGTTGCTAATATTTTTGTATAATTTTTGGAAAAAAATAAACACGAATACACGATGTACTTTAAAATTGAATATTTAGTAAAAAATGAACATATAGTAAAGTAAAAATGAACATTTATAGTACATAAAAACTGAATAATTTTTTAATGATTTATCTTATCTTTATTTTTCGTAAATAATTATATACAATTAATTTGAACTTATATGAATATAGGAAATATATGTTCATTTTTAATATACTAAACGTTCATAAATTTTTTTAACGTGTTGTTCATTTTATTTAATGTCTTCATATATCTTTATGAAATGTTCATTTTATTAGGTGTGGTCCAGCTATTCTATGATTGTAAGATAAATGTTCATTTTTAATATACTAATATTCAATATTATTTTTGAAGTGTTCATTTTTTATTACTAAATCTTTTTTTTAAGTGTTTATAATTATTTTTACTAAATGTTCATTTTTAAGGTCGTGGTCCAGCAATTTATGGCTATTATGTTCATTTTTAATTTTCTAAATGATCATTTTTTTTAACATGTTCACTTTTTAAATACTAATGTTCATTTTTTTTATGTGTTCATTTTTTATTACTAAATGTTCATTTTTTTTACATGTTTATTTCTTTTACTACATGTTCATTCATAGGCAGTGGAATAGCTGCACTAGGTTGCTAAGACTTATTGTCTTTATCTTATTATATTTTTTTATTCAACTAAGTTAGTGTTGGATGTGGCCCAAAATTTAATAACCCTATTATTTTGGTGGAGTATTTATGTTCTAGAAGCTTCCGGATACATGTATCATGGTTGGTATTACTCTTCATTTCTCTAGATTTTTCTACTACTTTTTATCATGGAAGCCAGTAAAAATGATCTAGAAAATTTTAGACATTGAAAGCAACTAAAAGATATATGGTTCATGAAAACTCTATAACATTATGGCAACAAGAATGATAAAGGAAGTTTTGGAATCTTCTAGCCATTTCTTCTAATAAGCTCCATCTTCAACTATAAATATAGCCAATATAAGTTATGGGCATTCAATCACATATACACACACACAAGAAGCCATAATAATACACAAGTCTTCATATCTTTCGACCCTCATTGTATATAGTGGATTATTTTGGTGCTAGTCGTTTGTGAGTCTATTGCTCTATTGAGGATTTTTTCACGTTGAATATTTTGGGTTCTCTTTTAATGTTTGTCTTGCTTTAATTTATCTCATAATTCATACTTCTCAATATCTATATCTTTACTTTACTTTACTACTGTTGCACACTCACCAACCCTGTATTCATCATTTTTAATTTTGTAAGATGAAATTTTGGTTTTAAATTGCAAAAGTAGACTTTTGAAACTAAATTAATCTCAATTTATTGTGGTCTAAATTGGAATATTCGATTATATCTTAAAATTTATTTTATTGTGATTTGTACATCCATCAATTATTTTGGATAGTTTTGATTAAATTTGATTTGCTCTGCTCATTGTGTTCATGAAAAAAAAATAGAAAAAAAATAGAAAATTATATCTTAGAGTGAAGAAAGAGAATATTGATATAATGGAAAGAAATATTTTGCCATTTTTAAAATCTGGTTTATATAATATGCCTATTTGATTGGTGTCCTATCATATATCAATACATTATAATATTAAAACAGACACCAAAATTGACCCATGTCATTTTCTGGTGTTATTTTTTCCCTCAAAAATGTTTTTTATTTATTTTTTTATTTTTTTTTATGGGATCAAACCTTTTTAAACTATCTTCTACCAACTAAGATATTTTTTCCATATTTGGTTAACATATATGTTCCATATTTTTCATTTCATGTCTTTATACCTTTTATATAAGGTAATTCATTATTATTGCCTAAACCATGTGTCGATGAAAGTTTGTCAACTAAATAGGTAAGGAGAGAGTATTGTATGAGTAACATGTATTTCTCTATTCTAACATGTATTGTATGAGAAAGGTGGGCGGAAGAACAGAGGAGAATAGAGAGAAAATGGAAGTGAGGGCTGAGTGGCTGAACCTTAACCATTATTATTGGGCTTTTTTATTTTAATTCTTAAATTATTGGGCTATAAAATAAGACCCTATAAAAGCCTTGTCCATTAAAAAATTAAAGGGTCGAAACCCTTTATATTAGGCCCGACCCTTTTGCCATTGGGTAGCCCTACCCAATAACCACCCCTACTTCTAAGGTATAACTTAGGTAAAATAATTCAAATTGTGTGTGTGTGTGTGTGAACAAACTATAACTCTTTCTTTTGTGTAAATTATTGTATAACTAATTAAATGTTGTAATTCATTATAAATTTTTGTTAAATTCGTCATTGCACGGGATCTAATCTAGCTTAATCCTAAGGCTAGGTTAGGTCCCGTGCCATGCACTGTAATTTCACTATATTAAATTTTTAAAAAAATTATAAAAATAATGGACAAAATACAACTATAACATACTTTGTATTTATTTTTATTCTTATTATTGTATATATAATAAAATTAAACATGGAATATAACGAAAGAATCAATTAGACGATGAGTATATTAAAACTACATCTTAGACCATGCATATGAGTGTTTTAAAATTTCAACAATAAATGAGTATCATTTTCCTTTTTATGAGTCAAATAAGTATTTTAAAACTATGTATTACAACCAGTGGTAAGAATAATAACCCTGGTGTTTTAATGATATATTTGGTCAAAAATTTTCCCTAACAAAGTATAATATTATGAAAATATTGGAGATTAAAATTAAAAAGGATGTCAAATTGTCTTACATGATTTCATGCATATATAGATTAGGATTTATAATGTTAAGTTGTATTGCTTTTCTCATTTTTATTTATTTATTTTTTATTTTTTTTGTTTTTTTTTTATACTCAATGTTAAGCTAATTTGTTATACTCCCTCTATTTTCTTAAATTATTTGTATTAGAACTAGGCGAGAAACCAATTAAACATTAAAAAAAACAAAAATTCCCATTTTATTATAAAAAAGAGATTCTAATTAAAATATTAAGAAGATAAAAAAATTTACCAGAACTTAAATTATTGTGCATTTTATACACTTTGTGATAGTAGAAAACATAAATAAATAATACATAAATAGTTGAAAATTAAAAATAAAATAGAATAATTTTATTTTTGTCCAAGAAATATGCTATTAGTAAGAAGATTCCTATTAATAATTTGTGTAGTACGAAATATGAATCTATTATTGAATCACAAATATTTATATGTGGCTGGCCACACCGTGTGGCCAGGGTTACTTATTTAGTGGTTACTCGTTTAGGGGTTACTTATTCAGGCCTTTCTCGATCGGTTGGTCAGGGGTTACTCGGTCGGTCATAAAACGCGCTAATAAGAAACCCTTGACCGGGTGAGTAACCCCTAGATAAATAACTCCAGCCAAAATGAGCTAACCGACTGAGTAACCTCAGAATAAGTAACCCTTGACCAACTGACTAATCCCTAAATAAGTAACCCTGAATAAGTAAACCCGGCCATACGATGTAGCCAGCCACACAGAAAAAGCACAAGTATTTAAAAGATATAAATTAATAAATATGTAAAAAAAATTATAACAGATACGAAAAGTATGTGAATCAAAATTATCACAATTATATGATTTAGAGAATATTTTGTGTATAAATTATAGTAGGGGGCATTGGCTAAAAATAGAAGAAAGGAAAAAAAAGGGGGAGGGGGGATTTTGGAGGGAAAAAACAGCACCAGGAAGTGACATGTGTCATTTTTTGTGTCTGTTTTAGTATTATATTATTGATTGATTGATTATTGACAGGCTAAAATCGTATCACCTAATCAAAAGAATTGCCTAAATCCTCTAACTAAAATAGATAGGGAAGTAGGGTCGAATCCATGGGGAAACAAGTCTTTCTATTCCTAAATAATTAATATAATCTAAACTATTAAGTGATCGAATTGTTGTTATATGAAAATTAAACTAGGGGAAAACAATTAAAGTAAAGCAAATTATATAAGGGAGAAATCAATAAATCAAAGCCTAGGGTATAGGTTCACCAATAAATAATATTCCAGGGTAAAACACAATAATCAATCATCACTGCATAAATTGACCAGATAATAAAGGGCTTTCGCTACATATTATAATCACAGAATTAATCTACCGGTATTA